GCACCCCATATGGTCCCCTGAGCACCGCCAGGAGCAGTTCCTGAGTGCATGAGCCAGGAGTAACCCCTGAGCATCGCCAGGTATGACCCAAAAAGCAAAAAAAAAAAAAAAATCTCTTGTTTAGATGGAGAGGCCCATAGACACTTATAGCACCAAGGCCACCTTGTATCTAGTCAGTAAGATGAGTGAAAAGTCCAGACACAACTGACCAGGCAACGTGTGGCCTCTTAGCCTTTGCCACAGCTGTTCCTTTGGCAACTTGCTGGCTTGGCTTTACACTTCTTTCCTTTGGGTCTTCTGTTTTGGGGAAACAGCCTGAGTATGATTCTAAAGCCTCATTTTTCTGAGTGAGGAAGAAAAAAATTTTAAGACAGTGGCATGCATTTGACCAAACCCACTCGAGACAGATGAAATTGAATGGTCAGTAAGTGGAGAAAATACTCGGTCTTCCCCTCTGATTCCCTCTGTGATCAGAGATATATTGTTCATAGAGCACCCAGTAGCTCTGCTTTTTCCTGCACCTGTCTGAGGGGTTCCAATGACAGCCACCACCCTGAGGAAGTACCCTGAGAAAGGGAGGATGGAGATGTAGCTGGTCCTTAATTTTGTGTATTTAAACAGCCCTGCTTTAGTGGTTCTCAGGCCTGGCCACAATTTGGAATCATTTGGACACCCCAACCAGCTAGATGGACTGTCCGGGTGTGTGACTTGGCCTGGCAGTCTCCAGAGCATCCCAGCTGGTTCTCAAGTACAGTGAGGTGGGGACTGGCACCTACCTGAGGTAATGAGAAGGACAGAGCCTGAGTCAAACCTGGTTCACTGGTGCTTGGATGAGGTGACTCTCCTCTTCCTTCTGTGATTGGTGCCCCAAATAATTGGCATAGTTCAGTCTAATATTAGAAACATGAAGAGTTGGGGGGTGGAGAGAATTTGTTGCCAAACTCCTCATAAAGAAGACGCCCAGATGGCTCTGTGGCAAAGTGCTGGCCTTGCAGGCACAAGGTCTCAACTCTGATCCCCAGCATCACCCCACATGTCTACAGCTCCATCTCAGCAGCACTGCTATTTGGAACACAGTGTCATGACAAAGTATGTGAGCTCCAGTACCCAACCATACATGAACCCTGGTCATAGCAGCAACCACAGACAAGGAAGGGGAATCAGTAATTTATTAATTAAAGGTAAAACTTGTTTAACTGAGAAGCCTCTCTGTGTTATTATCAACTTGGGTAGATAAAGAGCCTCCCCCAGCCTAAGGCCAGAATGTCTCAGTTACAGGTTTCAACTTAAACTGCCATATGAAATCATCTTGGGGCTTCAGAAATACAGGCACCTGTTGTTTTTATATGCAATCAATGAACTACCAGAAACAGAAATTAAGAGAGCGGTTCTATTTGCACTTATATAATTAGATGAATAATCAAAGAATTCCCACAAGAAAAGGAATAGAAACATAGATGCCATACTCCACTTCAAACTGTATTGCAAAGTTGTCATGTTTAAAACAGCACAGTACTAGGATTTAAAAAAAAAAAAAGGATGTCACTTAAGGGAACAAAATGGCAAAATGGAGAGCCCAGAAATAAATCCATACATATATGGACAAAGGAGCCAATAAGAACATACAGAGAAGAAAGAAAAATTCTTCAATAACTAAAACTGCGGAAACCGGATAGGTGTATGCAAAAAGAAAAAACTAGTGCTCTCATGCCAGACACAAAAGTCAATTCCAAAGGTTTCAAGGACTTGAAAACCTGAAGCCGTAAAATATATAGATGAAAACGTAGGTGATAAACTCCTTGACACTGGCTTTAGCAGTCTCTGGACTCAACTCAAATGGCAGCAAGAGCAGAAACACACAAATGGAACTACCCCAAACTTATATGCATCTGCATCATGAATGAAACCTTTATTGGCCTGAAATTGGAACCCACAGAAAGAAATGTTTTCACATCACATATGTAACAAAGGGTCACCAAAGTATATAGAGTGCATAGAATTCAAGAACAACAAAACCTGATTAAAAACCAGAATGACTCTCCTCTCTGGAAAGAAAGATGGCGGCCGCACAGGAGCCTTGTGGACAGCAGGTATGAGCCGGGGGTCGGGGGGCGACGAAAACCTCATGGGAAGGAGGGGCGTTCCGGCCCGTCCTTCACGCCCTACCGAGGTCACCAATTGCCCCCCACGAGCGGCTCTCCGGCACGGCCACGACTGCAGAGCACAGAAACCGGTCTCTTAATTATCTGACTTTTAGCAGAAATACTTCCAGGGTTAATAAGTAAAATAGCAGAAATCCAAAACCGCCGTGCGACAACATTTAATTCATGAACCCAGCTGTAGAAAGCAAATCATTTCACAATGCTTTTTCAGCATGCCTGATTTGGGGGGGGTGGGGTAAACTCTAAATAATAATGGTGCATCTTTTATCAAAACAATGAATCTAGTCAAAGTAGATAGAGTGTTAACTAGAACTCATCTGCCTCACAGGAATTGGGAGGGGTGGGAGGTGGGGTTTTATTGGGGTTCGTAGTAAAAAATAAGTATTGGTAAAGGGGTATGTGTTTGATATTAGCATGACTGAGACCTAAACCTGAAAGCTTTGTAACTTTTCCCACAGTGATTCAATAAATAAATTATAAAATTTTTAAAAATAATAAAATAAAAGTTTTTAAAAATAAAAATAAAAACCAGAATGAGAATATGAATACACATTTTCCCAAAAACATGCAGAAGGTTAACAGGCAAATGAAGATGTTTCTCATCCATTGTTAGTGAAGTACAAGTCCAGACTACAGTAAGATCCCACCTTGTAGCTGTAAAAATGGCTATTACAAAAAGACAAGAAATAGCATTGGTGAGGAAGAGAAGAGAACCCTTATACACTGGTGGTGGAAATGTCAACTCTAAAGCCATGATGGGAAGCAATAAAATAAAAGTAGAAAATCCATATGATCCAAGTACCACACTTCTGGTAGTTCACCCCCCCCAAAAAAATAATAATACAAAAACATTAACTTGAAGAGTTGTATACATGCCCTTATTTATTGAGGTGTTGGTATGACTGTTGGTATGATTGTGAATTGGTCCAGCCTTTGTGGAAAACCACAGAGAGATTCCTCAAAAAAATCAAAAATATTAAAAATAGAAATACTTTGTGACCCTGCTATGATACTTTTGGGTATTCATCTGAAGAGTATAAAAACTACTAATCCAGAAAAAATACGCACATCCCTGTATTCACTGTAACAGTATTTACAGTGGACAAGATATGAGAAAAGTGCAAATGTCTATCAACAGCTGAATGGATAAAGATGTACATATACACACAGCGTAGAATACTACTCAGGTATAAAGTAGGCAAGTCTTGCTGTTAGCAACACATGCACAGACCTTGAGGTATTATGCTAAAATAGGCCAGGCAGGGAAAGATAAATAACACATGACCTCACTCATGTGGAATATAAAGAAACAAAGCTAATAAACAAAGCAAAACAAAAGCAAACCCATCTCCCTAGAAAAAAACTGATTGGCTACCAGAGAGGAGTGTGGGGCGGGTAAAATGGAAAAAGCCAGTTAATTGTATGGTGGTGGAGAGAAGCTTGACTTTGGTGCAGACCATGATATTGTGTAAACAGATGTCGAATGCTAGCAGTGCAGCCGAATCACATAATATTACAGATCAAGGTGGGCTCGGTGGAATTTATAAAGCCTGCCCCAGCCTCTCCCTCCCAGCACAGGTCTGGAGTATTGGTGTCTTTGTACAATATCTTAGAGCCTGATCTTTTTTTCAAGGAAAAGTCTTCTTGCGAGAGAATCCCCACCTCTTCCACTTTGTTCTGCCCCCTGATCCTGCTCTCTCTTTGCTGGCTCTCTGGAGAAAGACTTTAAACCTTTTGCACCCCTATTGACCCTCTCAAGTCTCTCAAAACCCCTATTGGCTCTCTCAAAACTCTCAAGTCTCTTTCTTTTGAGATTTGGGCTCTAAGCCAAGAGCCAGGGTTGATGCTGGGTTTCACCTGTGACATCGCATCCCCCTCCATCTTGGGACGCCAGGACACAGCCTGGGGAATGAGTACACCCGACTCTGGCATGAGCGGCCCCAGCAGGTTCCATGTGAGCATCTCTCCTTTCCGTAGCCGGTGTCTGCAGGCACCTGTGTCGACTTTTCTGTGTCAAGATTAAATGAGAAAATTCAGGCTAGGGGCTGGAGCAATAGTACAGCCAGTAGGGGCATTTGCCTTGCACATGGCTGACCCAGATTCGATTCCCACCCCCCTCAGAGGGGCCCCGGTGAAGACAGCCTGGCACGGGGGCAGGAGATTCTGCTCAGGGTGGAAAAGGCAGCACGCCTTTCTGCACCACCATGTCGGTGGGCCTCTGACGAGCAGCAGCTCTAGGCAGAAGCCTCCCTTGTTGCTGGGGGCCCCACACATACTCCACGCACCATTCCTGACCTTGATCCTCTGTGGAAATAAGGACTCCCAGCTTCCCACAGCTGTGGCCGCACAGACAGTGGCGTTGCTGGACCCTACTTCAGCCCAAGGCCCCCATGCTTGCCTGAACTGCTGAGACCGGAGATGATTCCAGGCCGTTGGGTCTCCCTCTGGCTTCTCGTGTTTTTCTTTCTCTCATCATCAGAAACTCTGAAAACACATCTGTTTGAAAAAATAATAATAATCTGGCTTTTTATGAACTGCCAACATGAATATCGTGGCAGAAATACCATTTTATTGATTCCCTTTAGTCCCCTGGGAATGAGGGGTGGCAACAGTGATCAGGGAGGGCCTCAGCTGACAATGCTCAGGGGTCATCCCAAGGCCAGAGGCTGGTGTGAGGAAGTAGAAGCGATGTGGCCGACACCTTTGCCTCTGCTTGAAAAAGCCACATAGGCCCTTTAGAGGCTTTCCCCGGGAACTGGGGGACTCTCTGTATAACTTAGCCTTTTTCTGGAGGAACCTTGTACTGAGAGAACACTCTGACGCTCCTTTCTTCCCCAGGTGCCACTCTGGGTTCGTAGGCGCCCGCTGTGAGCATGCAGACCTCCTGGCCGTGGTGGCAGCCAGCCAGAAGAAACAAGCCATCACCGCCCTGGTGGTGGTGTCCATCGTGGCCCTGGCGATTCTCATCATCGCATGTGTGCTGATCCAGTGAGTAGTGGCCGGCCACGGCCCTTCCACTCTCTCTCCTGCACCTCAGGGTACCACCGACATGTCTGATGGGTGTCATCAAAGCCACGCTTCCTGGGAGGGTCCCTGACTGTGGTCCATGCACTGTAGAGTCTGGCCCAGAGCCGGCATCACTGTTTGCTTGCTCTGCCTTGAGCTTGGGGAGGGGACAGATCACCAGAGAGAACTGGCAGGTCTTTGCAGCCCCAGGGAGCAAGCCCACTGGCCCTCATCACAAACCCTAAAACCCCCAGAAGGCCTAGTTGCCCTCGTGGCAGCTGACAGCAGCCCTGCCCCTGTCTCTCCCTCCTCATCATCAAAACCGCAAAGGCTGTGTTCCATCTTCTGAGCCCAGGGGAGACCCTTTTCAGCTGTTTTTTAGACCTGCTTACTTGCCTGTTATCTGTCTTCAAAGAAAGAGACACCTCAGGGATGTATCCCCAACTCTGGTCAGATGTATTTCCTGCAGTGTCCAGAGACATCTCAGTCCAAGTTAAGGGCCCAGACCTGGCCTGGGGCCAGCACTAGTGGGGACATTGAGATCTGAACAGGACCTGCTCTTCCTTCCTCCCCAAGAGGCATGTACTTCATCTGCAGGCAGGCATCATGGGAACGCTGTGATTGTAGGAAGTGACCAGCAGTCCTGGCTCTGGCTGAGGTACAATCTAGACCCTGCCACTCAGGAGGAATCTCCCTGGGACCAAGAACACCCGCATGGACCAGCAGCCTTGCCTCTCTCTATTAGCTGCCCATGTGTGCTGTTCTACAACCTGTTTCTCTCCCAGAGACTTAGGAACAAGACAGGAAACCTTTGTGGGCCTTTCCAGGGTGTGCTAAAAGACAGGTACTTCAGACTTTCTAGAACAGGACTTCTTAGACATTTTCCACTTATGAACCCCTTTGCAATGGAGAAATTTTTATGCAATCTCAGGTATAGAGGTATATATAATAGGTATTCTGATCAGTTACAACAAATCAGAAAGAAATTTTTTGGAACAATTTAATTTTTCATGACCCCTACATTAATGACATGACCTCATGTGGGGTGCCACCCACTAGTTTAAGAACCTAGGCCTCTTTGGGACAATAGAGATAATGCAGGGATTAAGGCACTTGCCTTGCTTGTAGCCAACCCTGGTTCAAGTCCCTGGCGTTTTGCATATGGTCGCCTGAACACCTCTAGGAGTGACCTCTTGAACCAGTCATGGCCTAATCCCTCTCCCACTAAAAAATGAAAAAATGAGGCTCTAGAAGCAGGACATATCTAAGTGACCTGGACAGTCTCTGTCACTCGCAGGGAGACGGCCATCCTACGTCTCCTCTGTCCTCTCCCTCATTGTCAGAGTCCAAGTTCAGAAACTCAGGCTAGTGGTTCCCTGGGTCTGGGGTCAGGTTGCGAGCCACTCATCCCATGTGGGAGGGACCCAAGTCCTTGGTCCTCTCTGGGATGCTGAGAAGGGAGGGCCAAGCCTGCCCAGCTCACTGCCAGCTCTCATCAGTCTCAGGTCTAGAAGAAAGAACTTTGGGTCTCTCCAACATGAAATGAGTCAGTCACCGCTTGGAATCCGGACAGGGCCTCCTGCCAAAGCCCACTGCTTCGGCCTCTCACTGTCCACCCAGCCAAAGCAGATTGGGCAGGAATGTCTCAGATTCATGAGATTCAGGGACCCAAGTAGCCTTTCCAGGGCAGAGCTGAGAGGGACTGGAGGTCACCAATAGGTGCTGTGTGACTGGCCAGCATCTTCCCCAAAAGCAGCCAACCAGCATGGAAGGGAAAGCCTGGGATCAGACTTGTTTCCTCTGCTCTGTTTTTAGGCTCCTGGGAGCTGAGCTCCACCTAAGGCAGAACCTGCCTTGCTCCATGCCTTCTCCTCAGCTCTTCTTTTCAGTTCCCCGATCCCTCTTCCATGCTAACTCTGCTAACCAGTCAGTCCTGCCCACTGCACTAAGAGAGGTTTATAAGCCTCACTCTCTGGGTTCTTGGTGACACAAGGTCACCGCGATGCTAGGTCTGCTGCAACTAGGGAATATTAGTCCTCGGAGGAGACTTCAGAGCCACAGAGGTCTACGACTTGTTCTCATTCTTTCCATGAGCCAATTCATTTCCTGCTTTGCTGCTGCCAGTACCTAGTGGGTGACCCCCTCCCAGGCGCTCCAGGCCCTGCCGCCTAAGCTGGCTGCTTTGTCCCTAGTCCATCGGCACTTCTGAGGCTGGCACTACATGTGTGGGGTTACCTACTGCTAATCTGGGAGCAAGAGGTCAGGGTATATGCCGGTTGTCCTATGAGCCTGGAGCAGAATGGCACACCATCGGAGCTGTTAGTTTGAGGTCACCAATAGGTGCTGTGTGACTGGCCAGCATCTTCCCCAGAGACCACTGTTCTGCAGGGCATTGTATCCCTCTGTTGTGTCTCTCCCTCCAGAGCCCCTCTTCCCCAGAAAGGCTGGTTTAGAGCCCCAGCCAACCCAGTCGGCCTCAAGGGCAGATGCTGCCTGGGTCATGCCCGGCTGCCAGGCTCCTGCACAGACCCTGTTCTCTGTATCCTTGCAGCTGCTGCCAGATCCGGAAGCACTGTGAATGGTGCCGGGCCCTCGTCTGCCGGCATGAGAAGCCCAGTGCCCTCCTGAAGGGAAGGAGTGCATGCTGCCACTCTGAAACAGGTAAGGGCTGTATCCAAGGTTCTGCTCCCTGAGAGGCTGCGTGAGAAACAGAACCATGTTCTCCAGGCCAGCGAAAGAGTTTGGAAAGCTGAAGCAGAAGAAAGGTGGAAGGGAAAAAGGTAGTCAGAAATGTAGCACAGCCACAAATGCAGGTCTCACAAGCCTAAGGCCCAGGGTCCATCCCAGACTCCTCAAATAAAAATGATCATGAGGGGCCAGAGAGACAAGACAAGTGGGTAAGGCACTTTGTTTGCATGCAGCCAACCTCATTTTGAAACACTGGCACTCTATATGGCCCCCTGGGCACACCCTAGGGACTTTCTGGGCACCCATCCAAGAATGGACCCTGTGGAGGTATGACTGCCACAGAGAGAGAGAGAGAGAGAGAGAGAGAGAGAGAGAGAGAAGAAGAGAAAAAAGTGGAACAGAAGGAGGAGGAAGAGGGGAAGGGAGTGATGGTGGAGGAAGAGGAAGGAGAAGGAGGAGGAGGAGGATCCAGCAGTGTGTCTCAGTGAGCATCTGCTTTGCAGGTGTGAGTCCTTGAGTTCAATCCCCTGCACCACCCTCTATACTAAATGTAATCCCAGTGGCATTGCTGTTTGTGGGACCTGTGTACTAACCTGAGCAGGTGAAGATACAGTCACTGCAGGCTGATCTGCAGGGATGTGCTTGTCAGTGCAGCATTGCATTTGGGAAGTTCACGGGTTCCTGGAGAGGGTAGGAAGAAAGGTCCCTGGAGAACTGGGCCACTGTCTTGTCCTGTCCCACCTTCTGGACCTATGCACGATATTGCCTGCCACCTTAGATCTGGAACCCAGCCTCTCTTCATCTCCCAAACCACTATAATTATGCCTGAGCAGTTATTTTGACTTAGCAGGCCCACAGTCTTGAAAATGCTAATCCAGAGAGATAGTACGACAAGTAGGGCATTTTCCTTGCACATGCCTGGTCTGGAGTTCAATCCCTGGTAACTCATATAGTTCCCCATGCACCTCTTAGAGTGATCCTTGAGTGTAGGTAAACTGAGTCTGCCCAAGACATGCTTGGGTATTGCCATGAGTCCTAGACAAGAGCCAGGACCTCAAAGTGCCCCATTCATTTATTTTTTCCACTGTTCTGTGGGACCTCCCCTGATCTAATGAAGGAAGTAGTTCTATTTCATCTCCAAGCACCAACTAAAAAGGTGTTTATTCTGCTGAGAAAGCATGTAGTAGATTCTGTACCCTGATGGTCAGTTGAGGAGAGAAGGTTCTGGTAAATGTTCCTCCTTCACCACCCACATTTGAAAAGATGGTATGGGCTGGGAGCCTGGAACATGACTGAACGTAGAGCAGAAACCCCTGTACCTGAGATGAGGCGGACTCCAAATCCCAGGTGGCACCTTCTGGAGCTGACAGAAGTTCTTTTGAAGCTGACCCACCATGATTCACCCCAGGCCAGGGTGTTTCCTCTGCCATCTCCAGAAGGTAGACCAGGGCGGGAAGTGATCCCAGCTGAGTGGACTCAGGAGCTGCCGGAAATGGGTCTACCCCAAATGACCACAGAGACTGGGCCACAGCCACAGAGAAACAAATGGGTCCTTTCTTTGGGGGAAGCCATTCTGCCACCAGAGCCACCAGCACCAGCTCAGGCGCTGTCCACTCAGCCACCCTTAGTAGGGGAACAGACTTCAGTCTTGGCTGAACCACCTCAAATTGAATTAAGTCCCCTGTGCCACAGGGTATAACCCCCTTCCCTGCCGGCCACAGCTCCCACTCTCTTCATTCCTTAAACACTCCAACAGTTTCCTGTAGCATGGAAAACTGATCACAGAAGCTGCTGCCCCTGAGGCCAAATCAGCAGATCCCAGAAGAGGCCCTGACTGCCTGAGAGAAACTAGTGACCAGTTGCATCTCCGAGTTTCTGACCCAGGCCAGCTTTCCGAGCATGACTGCAATTTAACTCCAGAACTTAACCTGTTTTTCCCTCTTGGCAGTGGTCTGAAGACCCTGAGGAGAAGCTCAGCCAGGCGGAGGTGGCAGCCTGAAGAAAGGACTCCTCAAGGCCAGCACCATGAGGGACACCAGGCCATGCTGGCCCACCTTTCCTACCCAGCCTGTAATCACCTGAGCAGCCTTTTCGTCTTTCATGGGCCTTCCTTCAAAGCTCTGTCAAGAACTCTGTCTGCTTGGGGTTATTTGGTATCCTGGAGAAGAAATCCACAGACCACGATCTAAAAACTGGTCCAAAGGAACGGAGAAAGGGTGGACTTCCTGTTTGCCTGGCCCCAGCATGTGTGGTGCCCAGCCTCCGTGGGCAGGCAGACGTCTCCCACCAGCCTCCAATGCCGGACAGCATTTGTCTCTCCTGGGTCTACGTCCCCACAAGAGGATCCACCAGGGATTTCCTATTGTTGGTTTTGTTTTGTTTTGTTTTTTTCATATCCACTTTGGGAAAAGGTGGACAAGGGTCGAATTGAGATGTTAAATGTGAAAGGAACCGTATCCACCCTCTGTGCACCGGACCCTCCGCCGCCAGCCCAACGTCTTCCTTGGCAGGGGGATGAGGACCTTCTCCAGGCGTCATGCCCCAGGAAAATACTTTTTTATTTATTAGATGGATGAGGGGTTTTTTTTTTTCGATCTCTTACACAGCCGATGTAAAAAGCATAAAAGCCTTTCAGACTTCTGTATTAATGATGTACATGTTGCTGGATGTAAAGAGACAGTTGTTAGAAGTGTCAGACCTCTTAGAGGCTTGGGATGAGCCACCAGCAGGCATAGAGACGATGGGGTTTCTGACGGGGACAAAGACTGGGCTCCAGAAGTTGTGCCACTTAAGACAACAAGTGGGAAGAAAAGCTGGCAAATTTGAAGAAAAGCGGCCCAATTGTCACCTCTCTGGGGGAGAGAGGAAGAGCGTGTGAGGGGGAAGAAATCTCAGACTTGCTCCACGGCTCCCTGGGGGGATAGCTCGCTTCCTAGGGAGTCCACGGAGGGGATATTCACGACTGAGCAGTAGCCAAGAGCCATGGGCATTTGGGGCCACATCCAGGAAAAGGGGACCAGTCATTTATTTTTCATGTTGTTGCTAGGTTGATTTGTTGCTTTATTTTCAAAAGGAGAAATGTAATTTTCCTATTTATCTTCAAGCACTAAGAGGAATATTCCAGTGACTTTTTTCATTTTCCATTCAGGATGCTGGTTTTATGAACCGAAACTCTCACAAGTCACTTCCACCATGTAGGTCTTGCTTCCCCCCCCCCCCCCCCGGAGAAGGAAAAGTTGTTCTCCTGAGCATATGGGGCCATTCCGGCCCCCGGAGGCCTGCCTGGGAGAAGCTCTGGTCACCTCCAACTCAACAGCAGGACACTCGTCCCTAGGAATTTCCATGAACATTTGGAAACAGTAACAGTGAAATAATATGTCAATTCCTTATGTGAGGGAACTCTTTATTCACTAATATTTGGAAAAGACCAGGCGCTGTGTATTAACCCTTCAGTGCATCTAGTTCCTCACGTGGTAAAGGGAACCTTTCAAATACATGAATTGCCTTGAAATTTCCATCAGGAAATTTGGTCCTCCCCTAGTTCTTCCTTGCCATCTTCCCATTAGTGTCTATGGATTTTCTCCTTGTTCCTTCTAACTGAAATGGTTGTCTGACCTTGGCCAGCATGTAGACACTGGGGCTGAAGGAAGCTACACCCAGACCACTACCATCAAAACCGGGGTTTGCTCCACAGCAGGCTGCCAGCAGTGTCATTGGCCCAACTCCCAGAACTCAAATCAGGTTTCCCTTTGCATTCCTGGGCCAGACCATTCCAGCAAGGGAGATTGGTCGCAGAGGCTTGACAGAAGTATCTTACTCCGAAACCATACCCATCGATGCCGGGGATGCCCCTGCTAACCCATTTATACACTCCTCACATCAAGCCTCTCCTGTAAGCCCAAGGGTACGATTTAGAGACTAAATGCATAAGGAGTCTTATCCTTGACTCTGAACTTGAGATCCCTTTTTTTTTTTTACCATAGAGCAATATCTCTAGAAACTTCAAGAGGTTTGATTCCCTTTCAAGAGAATGCCCCAAACCCATTTTGTTTCTCAGGACTCACAATGGCACTGTCCATGTTAAATCTGGAAGCATCTAAGACCTTTGCAGAGGCAGAAGAGAAGGGTGGGTGCAGAAGGAGACTTCTGGATTCTCTGTGGGGACTGCAGATTTAATGTCCATAAGGGTTCGGTGCCTTGAGCCCAGCAAACCACACACAGCTTTGGCCCTTTCCAGGACCAACTTGCACCGGCAGGCAGGACGAGTTGCTGGGAGAGGTGAGGGCCTCGGCAGTCCTGGCTACCTTTGCCTTGTCTACACTGCAGCAGATGAGAACTTACCTTTGACCTTCGGTGGGGCTAATAGCAGTGAGGATGTCACTTCCCAGCCTGGGTAACAGCCATGCCCCTGGAAGTGGGGGATATGGCTGTTTCCAGGGTCTGTGTCCAGGGATATAAAAAGTTCTCATTTGATAAAAGAAGAGGTGCTTCCAAATCTTTGCAGGAGCCTGAGTGCTTCCCATGGTTCTGCAGTGGAGGCGTCGTAGAGCATTTGAGCAGGAGGCATTGCCTTATAGATGAAAACAGCGCCCACCCCCCACCCCCCGTACCCCACCCTACCCCCTAGCTGGAAGAAGCATCTGGACATGCAGGGAACACGCAGACAGGAGCATAGCCCTGTTCTCCAGTAACAGAAGGAGACAGAATTGTCCCAGAGCCTGTTGCCTCAGAAAGAAGAGAGGTGGGATTGTCTGACCCACTACCACAGGCAATGCAGCAGGAAGTGCAGCACCTGATTTTAGGAGAGCGCCCCCTGAAGGTGGAGAGGTCTGGCATCCTCAGCCTGTGGGTCATTGCCTGGATTCTGCACATGGGCCCAGCTGTTGCTCGCCCAAGGCAATCTGGCAGGAATGAATCAGTCCACCTGTATCATTGCCACCCCGACCCCTCTAGTAAGAGTGTGGGCTCTAATTTCTTGAACCTACTCAGCAGTGGGGGCTGGAGAGTGGGGGGGGTTGGAGAACTGATTTAAAGGAACGGGACAAAGGGAGACTCACAGAAACAAGACAAATGCTTAGATGAGTTCGTCATGTTCTAACATAAGACCTGTCTCTCCAGCCAAGAATTATATGGCTTTCTAGAAAGATCCAGTGGTCAACACATATACAGTACTGAAAAGCAAACCCTCTTCCTAGTGTAATAACTGAAGTGTTCAACTTTTCATTATCTTTATTATAACACACCTGATGCTTTTTTTTAGAACTCATTTCTCTGACTTCTGTATATGTTGCACTGAAAAGGTTAATATTTAAATGTTTTAATTTATTTTGTGTGGTAAGTTAATTTTGATTTCTGTAATGCATTAATGTGATTAGCAGTTCCTTTCCTTAATACCTGAGACTACACTTATTTAAAGAATAGTGAGTGACACAGAATGCGGTTGTGTTTCACAGTGATGTGCGTCATTGTTCAGCTGTACTGTACCTTATTTGGAAGGATGAAGGAATGAACTCTTTTTATTTCCTAAGTCAAGACTGGAACTCTTTTTTTTAAATTGTTTCTTCTATGATATGGGCTATTGCTCAGGCAAATTAAGATTTTTCTCCAAATATGAATAATGAAGGGGAAATGGTATACATTATGAAAATGTGATCATCTGTAGCCGGGGAGATAGCTCAGGGGTCCAGGTACATGTTCTGCATATCTCAGGCTCTAAGTGTGATCTTAGTGTGATCTCTGGCACTGCAGAGTCCCCCAGGCACCATCAGAGATGAACCTGGAGGCCCCTGAGCACCTCTATGTATGGCCATGATGGCCCCAGCACCATCCAGCCCAAGCAGTGTCTCATCACCAGGCCCAAACTTGCGACTACCCAGCCTGGTTAGCCCCAGAACCACTTGGGATTCCCCCTCCAAAAACAATGTGGAAGCCATGTTAAATGTTAACATTGTTTAAGACAATGTTAAAATGAATCTCGGTTGTGCCCTCTCTACTTGCAGAAACCAAATTCTCTATACAATTCTTCTCAATATAGGTATTTTTGTGTCCAACTAACCTGGAAGAAGATGTCTGATACACAATCCCTTCCCCCAAAATATTGGAGTTTCAGCTGGGAAGACAGACTGACATGCAGAAAACACCTCCAGAGCCTTTCTAGACCAAATCCATATTCACCACATTATTGTCAGAGAGGGGATAGAGATCTGTGGGTCTCCAGAGTGCACCCCACACCAGCAGCAGCCTCCCCTGGAAACATCCTGCTCCCAAGAAGGCCCAGGAGAGTTCTGAACTCCGTAGGCCTCTGGACAGTCAGACACATGTGGCCGACACCACACCCTCAAGCTCAAGCCCCACTTCACTTTACATTGGCTGAAGGAGATGGAGATTCAGGCCATTCCTTGTCCTGGCACATCTGGTCTGGTCTCTGGCCTTCAAAAGAGCCTTTCCTCTCTTTTCCAGGAGTGGGAGGGAGGCTGCTGCCACATCCGTGTTTCCCCTCCCGTCTCAGCTCCAGGCATCCTCCATTCTTACTGCTGTGATGGTCTATCCCATTCCTTCTCCCTCATCTGTAAGCCCTTCTCTTACAGGGTGCCTTCCTGCCAGAAACAGAAACAGGGTCCAGTGACTGTTCCTAGTCCTATCCAGGTGCACTGGGGTGGCTGGGGGAGTTAGAAGGAAGGGCCCCCTTCCAGAAAATAAAAGCACCCAGGTTTCTAGTGTAAGCCTACCCAGACCTTCCTTCAGTCCCTCAGATGACTTGTACTTGCGACCTGGATCCATGTTCTAGACTCTGGAATGTTCTTTTGTTAATCTGATGGTTCATTTGTTAGCCCCTAACTCCTGTTTGCCCTCAGTTTTGCCAGGTTCAGTCTGAGGTGTTAGAGAATGATCCAGCCCTTCCTCTTGTCTAGCTCAGATCTCCTTGCCTACCACTGCCTTTGACTCTAGCACCAACTTTTATTTATTTTTTTTAATGAATCACCGTGAGATAGTTACAGACTTATAAACTTTCGTGATTACATTTCAGTCAATGATTGAACTCATCCCTATATCAGTGCCTATTCTCCACCACCAATCTTCCCATTATCCGTCCCTCCTGCCACCCACACCCCTTTCCTGCTACCCCCACCCCCTGCGTCTGTGGCAAGCACATTCCCTCTTACTCTTTCTCCTCTTGGCTGTTATGGTTTGAAATACAGGTAGTAAGTAGCCATCATGTTTGGTCCATAGTCTACTTTTAGCACGCATCTCCCATCCCGAGTGAGCCCTCCAACCATCATTTACTTAGTGGTCCCTTCTCTTTCCCAGCTGCCCCTTCCCCCAGCACA